ATTTTATAAATATTTATTTGATTTATTATATACACTGATATGTGTAACAGAATCATTATTAATTACAATAACAATGGGTGAACGTCTCTATCAATTGAAATTAAAATTAATATCACTAATTGAATATCAATTAAAATCTTTTAAAAATGAATTACAATTAGATATAAGACAATTTAATTTAAATTTATTTGAAATGAAATATATGACAATTACAATACCATCACTAAAATTATTAGGAATGATGGAAAAATATGATGATGAAACAACAAACGCTAATATTATATTACAAAAAAATTTAAATTTAAAAGCAGAAAGAGGACAATGTGTATTAATTACAGGTAATGTGTATGTGTGATAAATGAAACTTACGAGGAAGCATCGTCAACTAATAACTCGTCTTACAGTTAAAACATACATTTTTGTAGAGGTCTAGAAATTTGAACTTTATTGTCCAGATGAACCTTTTCGAGTCATGCATTTTGTAGAGCATTAAAAACTAAACATAATTTGTTTTCTTTTTAGGGTTCTGAAGCCATATTACCATTCGAGGTTATTGAACTTTCGAAAAATGCTTTGTGCTGTACAGCTACGTTAAATGCTTAAAGGTTCGTTTCAAAACCCTAAAAGTTTCATAGTATGCTTAGTTTAATGATCTATTAGATGGCTGACTCAAAAAAAATGCACATATTCACAATAAAGTTTAGATCTCTAGAGATCTCTAGAGAAGCTTTCAATAGACCGAACCCAAACCAAGGTCAGATTCGGAATTAGCCGAATCATAGATAACCTACGAAAAAGTATGTTTTAACTGTAAGGCGATTTATCAGTTGGGAATGTTCCCTTGTTAACTAACTCAAGCCGTGCTACATGTTAGAAACCTAACTCTTAAACGGCTCAGAGTTTTGGTTAACTGTGCATTCTTTTTTTTGACTCAGCGGATGGCATGTCGGCAATGTTTGATAGTCACACATTCCCTGATGTAGGATTCTCAAACTCCACATATTTTGTGCGCTCGGACACTACGCTTCAGGGCAGAATTTCTAAAAAACTCAATTTTTTCAAAAAACTCCTAAATCTCTTAAAGTTTTTCATCAATGCACACGAACCTTTAAGCAAGCAGCAATTATGTTGTGCTTTTTGTTTTTTCTCAACAACATTCTCAATGTCGCTGCTTTGCGTTATGTATTCAGGTTCAACCGGTTGTGGTAAAACATCATTATTTCGTATATGTGCTGGGCTATGGCCATGTTATTATCATACTACACCATCATTATTACAATTACCAGAACGTCATTCTATAATATTTGTACCACAACGTCCCTATCTACCAGAAGGTACATTACGTTTTCAAACAACATTTCTATTAGAAAGATATTATAACTCTATGTCGAATGGTCCTACTCGCAACAATGATAGCATTAGACAAAGAAAAGGGTTAAGGTATAATGAAATTGAACAATTATTTAAATTAGTTAATATGGGTTATTTGTTAAAAAGATATGATCTAGATATAGTAAGTAGTGGAAAAGTTATAAATTGTTGTCTGTAAGAGAGCGCATTTTTAAATTTTTTGATGACGAAAGAAAAAAAGAAAAAGAAGGAAAAACACGACGTGTACATACCGCAGTACCAGCTTGACCACGTAACTCCTTTGGCAGAGATGTCACAGCGCTACGTTTTTTGCTCATTTTGTTTCGACTATATCTCCGAAACTAAAAGTCGTAGATGTCTTAAATTAAAAAAATGGCTGTAGGAAATTTATTCGAAAAAAACTGTGATAAAAATGCTGGAATCTACATCTTTGGTTTCAATTCGTAAAAAGTAGGTCCCACGAGGGAACCTCTCGAAGTGATTAAACGCTTTTTGCTCGGAATCTAATGGGTTATAGGTTATCGACCATGCTGATTACGAATACGACCATGGGGTTTCCCCATAGCCCTTCGAAGACCTGGTTTTCTAGAAAACCAGTTTTTCAAAAACTCTAAAATATAACCCGAACCTTTCTTAATGAGGCATGATTGTAGGCCGCATATTTCTGATTAAAATGAGACGTCTCCCAGCTTTGTATGATCTTTCTTTGCACAGTTATAGAATTTACAAGAAAAGCCCTAAATCTTCATTGTCAGCTCAAAGCTACAGAAATAAGAAATTAATTTAGGACTTTTGTAAATTCTATAACTGTGCAAAGAAAGGTAGTACAAAGCTGGGAGACGTCTCATTTTAATTAGAAGTATGCGGCCTACAATCATGCCTCATTAACAAAGGTTCGGGTTATATTTTAGAGTTTTCGAAAAACTGGTTTTCTGGAAAACCAGGTCTTCAAAGGGCTATGGGGAAGCCCCATGGTCGTATTCGTAATCAGCATAGCCGATAACCTATAACCCACTAGATTCCGAGCAAAAAGCGTTTAATCACTTCGAGGGGTTCTCTCGTCAGCATTTGAATTGCAGTTTTATGATATCTAGAGTCCAAAAAGATCTAAAAATGTCGAAAACAGTTTTTTTTAAAATTTATATGTCTCCAAACTCTCTAGAACTTTTAGTTTCGAAGATAAAATCGAAACAAAATGAGCAAAACACGTAACCTTGTGACATCTCTGCCAAAGGAGTTACGTAGACAAGCCGCCTATTTCGTCATCCAATGGGTACTACTGGTTTAAGCTTTAATCTTGAACCAATGAGCACTTTTCCACAAGAACTTTTCTTGGGACTATGAATAAAGTAGAAGATGGTATGTTACAGATTAGAGAGATGTTGGCAATACTCGGTCAAAATTTCCTAACCAGAACACTTTTAATTAATTTATTTTAGATCTATGATTGGCCCAGTCTATTATCAATTGGTGAACAACAACGTATATCATTTATACGTTTATTTGCTCTATTTACGTATTATACGCCACCATCATCTCAATTACATTTAAAATATTTAATCATGTTTGATGAATCAACATCAGCTATAGATATTGAAACAGAAAAAATTATTTATTGTTATATGAAAGAAAAATTAAAACTATGGTTTATAACAATTAGTCATAGACAACAAGCACTAATAAAATATCATGATATTGAATTTAAATTATATACAAGCAAACAACAAGAACAGCAAAATGAAATAGCAGAAGTAGAATTATCATCAGTGATATTTCCAGATAGTAGTACTAGATCTGCGTGTAATGATGATAAACGACGATCTATAGTGGAAGAAAATCAATATCCAGTAACAGCGAAGTCAATAGCTGCATTAAATGTGAGCAAAAAAAATATAGGTTAACCATTGTGCTTCTACCGAAGCAACAGACACACATCGTGTGAAAAGATTTGAGGGTAACACTTAAAGGACAATATAAAAGTCTATAGAATTGCGAAATTATCTCAAGGGTAACCCTCCCTGTCCCTCTTTTTTCACCTTGTTGCCAAAAGCGGAGCACACGTCCGATTCAGCTCCAATTAATAGCAGAGATAGAACATCGAAAAAGAAAATCTACATATTTTTGCCCAGAATTTTCTGAGAAGTTCTTATATGGGTTTTCTGGAAAATTCCAGTTTTCATCGGGTCACATTATGATCCCTCGAAAAAATGGTCCGATCGAGTTCAAATTTTTACCACAGATACTTCAGACCCTATCTTAGAATGGAAACTTTTTTTCCTAAAAATATGCTTTCCTTCTGGAGATATACAAAAATACTGAAAGTCAGTGGAAAAAACTGAAAAAATCTGACTTTTTTTGCGTGATTTTCAGCATTTTTAGTAGTAACGGATATCTCCAGAAGGAAAGCATAGTTTTTTGGAAAAAAAGTTTTCATTCTAAGATAAGGTCTGAAGTATCTGTGGTAAAAATTTGAACTCGATCGGACCAGTTTTTCGAGGGATCATAATGTGACCCGATGAAAACTGGAATTTTCCAGAAAACTGGGCAAAAATATGTAGATTTTCTTTTTCGATGTTCTATCTCTGCTATTAATTGGAGCTCAATTGGACATGTGCTCCGCTTTTCGCAACAACGTGAAAAAGGGGGGGGGGGCCCGCGTTAAAGGATTTTTCTTTTTCATGGGAAAATAATCGAACTCAGAAAATTTACTAAAAGCAGGAATTGCTTGCAGCTATTTTTTTCTCTTTTTCTTATGTCTAGTACAATATAGAGTCCGATGGATAGTCAATCGATCAGCTACGATAATATTTGACTAAAAACAATTTTTTTTTCATTGTTCCTTTTTACATCAAAGTTTAATTATGTTCTGTTTTTCAAATTAACTTTATTTTGGACCTATATGGACAGTGTCTGCTATGCGATGTCTTCTCTAAGAAGACGGTACTGTGAGCATACCTCGTCGTTGCTCATTATCACCTCCTTTAAAAAATGCGTTTGCGATAAACCTTGAAGTTCTCATCGTCAATTTTCTATTGATGTATTTTCCAGACATGTCCATCATCATCATCACCACTATCATCTACTTCCTCGACCGTCGCCGCCTCTCCACCTCGTTTTACGAATTCTAATAATATCATCGATATCTATACCGATAAATTAAATTCATCACCACAATGCTCATCCTTTATCCTATTTAAAATTTGGACTATTATACATTTACCATACATCAACGACAGTAGTCAACATCATCGTTGTCATCATTTACGTATTCAAACCTATTTAGCATGGCTTTGTACATTAACCGCTAATGGATGTTATACATATTTATCCTATAGATTAGTATCACAATTAGGCTATGTTTTTAGTGTATTAAATGAATATTCAGCTACAACCGTTACCCTGCAAACATCTAAAGAATGTATTCGTAATGAAGCATTATCATTAACGTTACATACAATAGGAATCATAATTTTGTATAGGTAAATATAAATTGATAATTAGGAATATTTATAAGATTTAATTTGTTAAACAGAGAAGATCATCTTCCGGTAGAAACTATACATTCATTTGTCTGTGTCCTTGAAAACTTTAACGTCCTTCATATTTATTCTAAAAACTTTCTAAATAGTTTATTCAATTGTCTCTCTATACAAAACGAGATATTAGAGATGTTTCAACAATGTGTGGCAAAGTCAGATGAGGACATTTTATATTTTGTAGAGAATTGAATAAGATTAGCCAATTGCTGCTGGGTAAGTAAGATGACTATCACTCTTTTTCCTACCGAGAAAAATGGTGAGATGCGGTTTTCATCGGGAAGAATCTTGGCTACCGCCAAATGCAGATTTTCTTCCACTATAGATCGTCGTTTATCATCATTACACGCAGATCTAGTACTACTATCTGGAAATATCACTGATGATAATT